TGTTCATTTAAGTGTCACCACACTTTAGCTCGTGAGATCAGCTACTTACTTCATAAGTAAGAAATGCCACACGTGATGGTCTAACTGTATTAACGATATCCGTATCTCGTTATTACTTACGACCATGGTTTATTCAAGATCCAATTATATGTAATTTGTATCTCACAATCACAACTCCTTGTGATTAACAGATTACCTAAAAATTGGGTCTTCGGATTCTATTATTTAATATTATTTATCACAAAATTAATTTAAATAAATAATAGATCTCGCCAAAATCAAATGCATTAAATATATTAAAAGCGTTTACAACCTAAATCGATTGGATCTAGGGCATAACACTTACAGATTTAGCTCCCTGCTGTCGTGAAAAATTGGTCTTTGCTAAGTGCAAAGTGCGATGACTTGTACACGAGCTGGACATGGTTCTTCTAGAGATTTAGAAACCTCGAAGAAACATACTTAATATGCAAGACGTTTACAACCTAAATCGATTGGATCTAGGGCATAACACTTACAGATTTAGCTCCCTGCTGTCGTGAAAAATTGGTCTTTGCTAAGTGCAAAGTGCGATGACTTGTACACGAGCTGGACATGGTTCTTCTAGAGATTTAGAAACCTCGAAGAAACATACTTAATATGCAAGACAAAGATGTAATAAAAATCAAAGACTAATGCACCTGAAAAAGGAAAGATAAAATAAACATGAGATGTGTAACCCGCTCAAAGCATTATACTTGATTCAGCTGTTACATGCAAGCACACAAAATATATTATGTATCTTCGTAAATGTTTATTACATTATGGTTCAACCAAGATCAGGCACGGTGAAAAACTCATTGTCGTCGTCTTCTGGAATTTCAAGTCTAGGCTTCTTGTAAGGCATGTAAAATTTGGCTTGTTTATAAGAGGTACCATGACTTGGTTGAGACACCGGTAGTTGAGGTACTTCGGCTGCTGCTAGTGCCTCCTGGCCTACTTGTTCTCCAAATAGATTCATGTCTGTCAACCACTCGAGCTCCCCGAGTTCAAGTTGCTCCTTCTGCACAAATCGGAACAATACATTAACAAAGCTGAAATTGGGATGGAATTCGATAACAAGTAAGCATAAGCATTAAAAAGGATGGTTTACAAGATATGGATGCATCATGAAATGCATTGACAAGGAAAAATGATCACAGACACGTAACTCCATGGAAAGCGTATGCTATGGATTAAGCGTTCATCATATATTGTCGGGAGCAATAATATGTAATAACTCGTAACAGAAAACGAAAGCAAGAAAAACACACGACTTAACATGGTTCCTCTCAATGTTAGAGCTACGTCCACCTGATGCCATTGCAAAATTGTACTATATCAAAAAAGAGAAATACAATGTATTTTTGGACTCACATTTGAGACAGGAAAAGGAGACTCGCCCTAATATCCTATATAAAAGAGGATATTAGGATGACCTAATACTTGTGCAAGTTTCCCAAATTACTCCTGTAACAACTTAAGTCGAACTATAGTCGAGGGACAAAGGGTACAACAGATAAAGCTCACACGTCCAACAGTATAATGTTGCTTCAAGGCTAGTAATTTCTACCTTTCATGGTATGTATGTGAGTGACGTGCGCATGTGAGAGGGGTGTGTGTGTTAAGTATATGGCGTATATTTTCCTGCATTTTAAAATCAAATTCGTAGAGAAAATTGATCGGTCATAAAAATGAGGACATTTATTATTAAATTGTTCATATATGGGAATCATAAATATCTTCATAATAAGCCATGAACTTTACACGATTGTATCTAACAAAATTACTCATCTTTCCATGCAAATGAGGTATAATATTCATAAAATGCGGGCAGTTGTCATCTGGATTTAATTTGCAGCAATTATATACAGGTTATTATGGAGAGTACCAGGACATATATTTACAAAACGAAATTTATATTGCTAAATAAAGTTCCAGGATGATGGTTCATCATTGTTATAATTTCAAAACTATACATTCACACAACAGTTATGTGACGACTAGCTTGCTTACCTTCTTGGATGATTCAGAGTCTGAAAATTGAAGCAAATCGTCGATAGCCCAGGATGGCGAGGTGATGTTAGACGGCTGCTGCACGGTTGTTTTCATGGTAATCTGTTGCATATTTGGTTTGGGTGGCCTCGGCTCCATCTGATTTGAATCGTCCTTGTTACAATTGGAGTTTAAAGCAACCTGAATTCCGGTGGCAAGAAATCGCTGGTGGTTTGCAGCAAGACGATTGGCAGAGTGGATAGACTCATCACAGTCTTGGCAGAAGAGTGCTCTATCGTCAACACAGAAAATGAAAGCCGGCTTTTCCTAAAATGAAGAGTGCATAGGAAAGTATAATGAGAATGAGAAAAGGTTACTAACTTCATGAAAACCATGATTACACATCCAACTGTCAAGCCTCCTAAAGCAATCAAGAGAGACACAAGAGGCAAATCAAAAGAAAAAACTTAGATCTAATACAAGATTTGGTATTCCATATTAACAATGCAAGCCCAATTCATTAAGATACTTATTCATCATTATTTTAGGATCATTGAACGAGTCAATGGAGTTAACAAAAACAATGCAAAACACTAAGGGTATGTTTGTTAAGAAATACTGGACACAACACATCGATCTTCCCTTAATGCAAAACATTGATAACATATTTGGTAGGGAGAATTGGACCAAACAATATTAATGAACAAAATAGAGCTAAAATCTTATTAGTAATAGTTGTATTACGAACCACTTATCGGACATACTCTTAAGGTATGTCAGTACAATACACAACTAAACAATATAACGGATCTTCTTCAGTAATACAAGGGAAAATATTGTGGGCACGTATTGCACTCAATATAAGGGACATCTTTCATATCATAATCAACAAAAATTTATCATTTTTTTTTTCCTTTCATACTTTCAAAATTCTATCCAATTCTAGCGGCCAAACTATTGAAGATGAGATTTTAATGATACGTGTGGCTCTTTCTAAAAGCTTAAATTTTTAGATCAAGTAGTTCAATATATTATCAGAGCACGCAAAGTTCCTATGTCTAAGTGGCCACGCCCAATGTTATGATATTGTGCATGTGTTAAGGTTTGATGAAAAAAATGAACCCACCTAAAAGTGAGGGAAAGGTCGAAGACAAGATTTAAATGATATATGTGATTCAATCAAGTGTTTCAACACAAACATCAATATTGGATATAATGATCAATCTACTGCACCAAACATTCCATAAAAAGCATAAAGAAAAAGAAATGTTTCAATTTTGTTTACTCGGCATATGTCACAAGGAGGTAGCTTGTTGGAGAGGCATTGAAGAAGCAGCCTTTGGTGTTTGCTTGCAAGCTTGTTTGCAGCATGCACTTCAATGTCACATTTAGCACACAAGGCAGCCTCATCAGCACAGCAAATCACTGTCGCTTGAGCTTTCTCACACACATCACACTGAATCTTCATCTTCTTAATATGATCTTTTCACTTATATTAATTGCTTAGAACAGGCCCATGTGACAAACTGCACAGAGAGAAACTTACATCTTGTTTGATCCTCATTCTTCGGAAAAAATACATTTTTAAACAATATTTTTACATTATTTCAACAACAAATTCTTCAATAAAATAATATCACACGTAAATCCAAAATTTTTCCTCATTTTTAAGGACACATTTCGGGTCATTACACTATTTAAAAATGCATTTTCTTGGCAAAAATGGGGCTCAAACATGGGCTTAATGAGGAAAACCCATAAATTTTCTTCAAGATTCAAGCAATACCCATATGAGGAACAAGGTCAAAGAAGCTAGAATAACACAAAATCAAACTTACCAGCAACAAATAATCCTTAATAGTTCTCTGGCCAAAAGGGTATTATTTGACAAATAGATAAAATAAGCTAGTGAAAACGGAAGACAAAGCAAAGAAGAACAAGGTTTTGGTTTTTGAAGTGATTGGCGGACAAATAAAGGAAAATTGGACTATAAAAGATAAGGGATTTGATGTGTATCAAATACAAGAACAAGATTGAGACAGCAAAGCAATGTGAGGCAAATGTAAACAGGATATTCTGTGGTTATACAGTGCAGAGAGTAGCAAGATTACCACACTAGTGGCCAGGAAAATTTTGGCATTATTATAGGGTTGCTGAAATGTCATTTTATGAATTGTTTGCAATTGTTGAAAAGATTAATATAGTTGAATCTTTTTTGTTGAATTGAAGACACCGACACGACACCAAGACATGTTCTTGGATTAAAAGGGCTTCTTGAAAAAATAACTATATGCCACTTTCAGTTTTTTGTGGGTAGTTGGACGTTCTCTACACAATGAAACAAGTTCTTGATTTCACATGTATGTATTTGATTGAATTTCAAACATTGTTTCAAGAATTTAAAAACATGGTCAATGTCCAAGAATTTATATGTGCTACTTCTCTTACGTGCGTTGCTCCTTTTAAGAATATATTTTAAAAATTAATAAATTTTTTTCTAGTGCTAACATTGACAAAAAGGTTTGGCATTTCAAAGTTGAATTTGTGCAACTTGAGATTGTAGTATCTTTCGAGAGCTCAACTATTCATCCATTATAGCAATCCATGAGTTGATTTCAGAACACCACAAGATAGTGTCATTAAAGCATTGAGAGAAAATTTTCCTAGTTCGAACAGATTGAGGAGAACTACAGAAAGGATCTCATAGGTATTTGATATCATGACACACCAATTAATTGGTGAGTACACCTTTTATGTAATTATTATATTCCAAAATGGCCACAACGAGCTTGGAGAACTCGAGTATTTACTATGTTGGTGTCTTTAGTATGTAGATATTTTATTCCACCTCATTAACTTCCTGAAAATGAAAACATTAGTTTTTTATGTAGATTTTTCTTATAAGTGGATTGGTGAATTTTATTATAGATGTAGTCAAGAATGTCTCTGGCGCGAATTATTAACCATGAATAAGATCTAAAAATGTGTAAAAGGACAAAGAATAAATAAAATAATGAATTAAGATTTAATGAAAACTCGAGCGGCCCATCATGTCATTATGCCTAGGACGCTAGATTTATTTAAGATCTAATAATCAATGACTATGAAGAGTGCTACAGCCACAAAAAATCTTTAAGGGAAAATTGTAGCGACGGTCTTATACTTTTTCAAATTTTGTACTTTACCCTAATCTTTATTTTGTACCAGCAACACTCCCGAACCTTTCATAAATATGACATTGGTGAATATCACATTAAAATTTGACACTGGTTATATGCTTAAATTATATGGAGTCAGATATATTCCTGAAATGACTAGGAATCTTATTTCGATAGGGGCACTAGAAACTGATGATTTTACTGATAAAATTGAAAACAACATACTTAAAATAATTAAGGGTGCTCTTGTCATATGTAAAAGTACTAAAAGAAACGGTATTTATGTGACTACTGCTAAAATTGTTAAAAGTTCATCTTCCTCTATAAATTTGACCAACACAGGTGACACACACAAATGACACAATAGATTAGCTCGCAGAAGTATTAAAAGACTTAAACTGCTAAATGATAAAGGTATATTTGGAAAAGACTGTATGTCTAATATGTCTTTTTGTGATCATTGTGTACTTGGTAAATATCATAGGTCATCTTTTTTATCTGGTATGTACAAAACTACTAAAGTTTTGGAATATATTCATACTGATTTGTGGGGGCCTGCTACTAATCCTGTAATGGGTGATAATAGATTTTTTATGTATATAATTGATGATTATTCTCATAGGGTGTGGGTTTATCTGCTAAAAGATAAAACTGAAACCTTTAAAATTTTCAAAATATGAAAATTGCAAGTTGAAACTCAAACTGGCAAAAAGATAAAATATCTAAGAACTGATAACAACCTAGAATTCTGTAGATGATTTGTCTGAAAAATGTGAAATTACTAGATATAAAACTGTTCCTTATACATCTTAATAGAACGGGATGGCTGAACGTATGAATCGTACTTTACTTGACAAAGTTAGATGTATAATGTTGAGTTCTAGTATTCCTAAATCTTTTTGGGGTGAAGTTGTTATCACTGTGTGTTATCTGTTTAATTTAACACTTTTTACTGCATTAAATGGTGATACTCCACATGAAAAATGGTATGGTAAATGTGCTAACTATACTGTGTTAAAAACTTTTAGCCATGCTGCTTTCTCTCATCAAAATGAGTGAAAACTAGAACCTAGAGCTAGGAAATATGTTTTCTTAGGATACCCTAAAGGAGTTAAAAGATATAGGCTTTGGGATAGAAGTCAAATTGGAGTTAAGATCATCATAAGTCGTGATATTACACTTAATGAATCTGAAATGTCGTATCTAAAGTCAGAAAGTGACACTTTGAGAGAAAAACAGCAAGAAAACACTAGTGACGAATCTCAAATAGATTTAAGGCCTATAAGTGTTCAAATCCCCACCACCTCAATTGAGTTGGAGCATCAAAATTCTGAATTAGAAGATAATCAGAGTGAAAATATTGAGAGAGATGAAGTTATAGAGGAATATCAAGGAGAGCAAAATCCTTTGTCTGATTACCAGTTAACTAGAGACAGAGTTAGAAGAACACATAGGATGCCTCAAAGGTTAGAGTCTGATTTTGAACTTGCTTATGCTAGTTATGAAGAACTAGCTGATCGGGAACCAAACACGTATGAAGAAGTCTTAAGGAGTAAACAATCTGAGGATTGGGTGAAAGAGATGAAAGAAGAGATAAATTCCCTAAATAAGAATCAAACATGGGAATTAGTTCCAAGACCTAAAGATAAGTCTATTATTAGGTGTAAATGGATGTTTAGAATTACGGAGGAAATTACCAAAGGAAAGGCTTTAAGGTTTAAGGCTAGACTTATGGTCAAAGGTTACATATAAAAGTAAGGGGTAGATTATAATGAAATATTTTCTCCAGTTGTTAAGTATACCACAATTAGGACTATGCTTGCATTAGTTGCGCATTTCAATTGGGAATTTGAACAACTTGATATTAAAACTGCTTTTCTGCATGGAGAACTTGATGAAAAGGATTTTATGGATCAACCTAAGGGTTTTGAAAATAAACAAAAACCTGATCATTTGTATTTTATTAAACGATCTCTTTATGGTCTAAAACAATCTCCTAGACAATGGTACAAAAGTTTTGATTCATTTGTTGAAACAGTTGATTTTAAAATGAGTGAATTTGATCATTGTTTATACAAACCTGGATAATGCTAAAAGGATCTTAGGCATGGAAATTCAAAGAGATACGTCTACTTCAATTTTATTTTTGCATCAGGCTCCATATATCATGAAAATTTCGAAAAATATTTAGCATGAATGAATGTAAACCTGTTACATTTCCTTTAGCTAATCATTTTGTATTATCTAAAAAACAATCACCTACCAATGAGAAGGAAAAGGAATATATGAAAAGAATTCTATATATAAATGACATTAGTTCTGTGATGTTTCTAATGGTGTGTACTAGACCAGACTTAGCTTTTGCTTTTAGTACACTTAGCAAGTATATGTCTAACCCTGGTCCCAAACATTGGGAAGCTTTGAAATGTCTGTTTAGATATTTGAAAGGAACATGCAATACTGGCTTGATATATAAATTTAGTACTGAAGGAATAAAATTGAAAAGTTTTACTGATGCTAACTATGCTGGTGATAGAGAAAATAGAAAATATATATCTTCCTAGATGTTTACTTTGTGTAATTCACGTGTTAGCTGGAAATCTCAACTTCAACATATTGTTGCATTATCCACTACTGAATCAAAATACATTGCTTCTGCTGAAGCCTTTAAACAATCTTTGTGGTTTAAAGGTGTATTAGATGAATTTGATATTTTTAAGGACAATGTGACAATATATTTTGATAATCAATCTACTATTCATCTATGCGAAAATTCTGTCTTTCATGAACGTACTAAACATATAGATGTTAGATTGCATTCATTAGTGTAGGTTCAGGACAGTTTAAAACCGAAAAAATATTCGAGGCAAAAATCAAGTATAAAACGTAGATTTGAACATAAACAGTAAAGAACACAAGATTTTTCGACCGAAACCCCGAGGTTCAGTGATTGATTAAATCGCCTAGTCCCCGTTGAGTATCCATAAGGATTTAAGCTCGAATCCACTAAATCACCGACCAAAAATAGCAAACTTCGAGTTACAAACGAACACATAGTTCACCAACTCAAACAACCAACAACCGGCCACTTCTCAACAAGAAGAACTCACACAAGAGTTCATACAAAAACATTTTCTCTCAACCAACTACACGATCTCACAGATTAAAGAGAAAACCCAAAAATTACAGAGAGAAAAAGTCGAGAAGAAGCTGCTCGAAAAATGACCAAGTCCAAACCCTGGACTTTTGATCTCCTTTTGAATGAAAGAAGTCAATTCATTTGATCCAACGACCTTCAACATGCCATGCGTCGTAATCTGGCTGAAGTTGTTAAATCAAAACAGAAAACACATTTTATTCACCCATTCCAGATTCTTCTACTTGTTGGACTATCAACCCAGGTCAGATGGATTGGGCCAGCTTTAGATATATATATATGGGCTGGACTTCCACAAAGACAGCAACCCAATCTTACAATCTCCACCTTTGCTATCTTTTGTGCCTGCTCTTTTGTGGATTCAAAATTCAAACACCTTATTTCATTTGCTCTTATTACCTGCAGAAATAGAAGAAATCAGTCTTCTTCAAGATTAATTAATCTTAAAGAATCAACAAATTTACTAATAGAGATTACCTTGATTCCTACATCTGCTGAATTTACTTTATATATATATATGGGCTGGACTTCCACAAAGACAGCAACCCAATCTTACAATCTCCACCTTTGCTATCTTTTGTGCCTGCTCTTTTGTGGATTCAAAATTCAAACACCTTATTTCATTTGCTCTTATTACCTGCAGAAATAGAAGAAATCAGTCTTCTTCAAGATTAATTAATCTTAAAGAATCAACAAATTTACTAATAGAGATT